GGAAAAAAAACACATGTTGGATACACTTAAAACCAGTACACCAACCACACCACGCATATTACAAACCCTAGTTTGAGTTTGAAAGATAATTTATTTTCCCTTAAAACCTTTACTTCATCTACAAACCTTATAAATTTGAGAAGTCTACCAAATAATGCAATATGGAATCAAGAAACAATGATCTGAAGGACTCTTCTCAAGATAAGGCCAGAGATGTGAGTATTTTAGCAGTTAATGTCCTTTTATGTTCTTGTTTATGAGTTTCGACAAAAACATTGTTTTAGTTAGAGTATGTGACCAACAAGTCAACTTGTGGTTGTGGTCTTTCCTTATTCTTGTAATCACAATTTAATTTGTATTAATGAAATCTACTTTTGGCATTCTATATTTGTTATCCCATGCAAGCGCATAGATATACTCCTAACGAGTTACTCTATTACTTTGGATTGGTCTAGTAGAATCGTGAGATAATTCAGCGTAGTAATGTAATTGTTAAACCTTGTTTCTAGTCGATGGATTACGCCAATAATGAGGATATCGGCATTTTCCTTTTGAAACTAAGACTTGGTATACGTGTACTGCGTCTCATCAATCATCGGTGTTGTGACATCGGCATACTTGAGTGGATGTTCATATAGATGAGTTCACTGAACTCCCTCACCTAGAAATCTCTAAATGATTTCCAATTATTGAGTAAGATTTTCTATGATATAGTTGTACACCATAATCCTTAAGACCCCTAAAGAAAGTGATTTTCAACTAAATCATTTTCATGACCAATTTTCTTTGGAACCAAACATAATTGGAATTTTGAAATTCCATGATTTCCTTCTTCTTTGCATTTTAAATTTCCTCATTTCAAAATCCACAAACCAACACCACATATCGTAGTGCTAATTAATATGAGCATTGGATGATTGCATATCGTGGGAAACCCCAACTATTTTGCAGAAATGTAATTGATGAAATAACAAATATAGACAATGCATGCATGCATCCCTCAATCAGATTCGGAAGCATGCTTATTTTATGTATTTGTTAAAGAGGATTGATATGTCTAATTGGCCCAACCCAATGGGCCTACAAATTATTTACCTATTGGGCCACGAGCCCAATATCGAAGACCACTATCACCGAGGCCCAATCACCTTCAAGTAATGTTTGGGTCCGACAATCTCAACTAAGCTATAAATAAAGGTTTGAACTCATTCTTTAAGGTACGTCCTATTAACTGAGCAATACTATAATATGTATTCTCTGGACTATTTCTATGATCAGCACGTCTGACTTGAGCGTCGGAGGGGTTTCCGCCGGATCAACCCCCGGCTTAGTTCATGTGTGCTCATTTTGCAGGGAACTCAGGATCATCAAGTTGTCAAGCTACTGATCTGCTTTGCTCTCCCAGCTCGTTTTTTACACTACATCAGGTGATCTAACTAATTAGCATCATCATTTTGGCGCCGTCTGTGGGAACGATGCAAACCATATCACGTAGCCAACAAGATCCTCATGAGGCGTCTGCTCGGAGAGAAAATGACACAGCTAACAACCTCCCGATCCGTGGAGGCTCTGGCTTGCCACTTCCTCCTCCTCGTGCTTGGGATCCATGCACCACGAGACATTTCTCGGATGTCTCACTAGATCCTCAATAGGATTCACTTCTTCTCGCCTCTCGATCGGTTCAGACAACCGATGAGGCCCTTCAACACTAGAAAGGGTTATCGACTCCCTGGGGGTATACAGTGCCCCCAAAATATTTCGCTCGCCAAGGGTTATCGACTCCCTGGGGGCTTACATCTGCCCCCAAAATATTTCGCTCGCCAAGGGTTATCGACTCCCTGGGGGCTTACATTGCCCCCAAAATATTTCGTTCGCCAAGGGTTATCGACTCCCTGGGGGCTTACATCTGCCCCCAAAATATTTCGTTCGCCAAGGGTTATCGACTCCCTGGGGGTTCACAGTGCCCCCAAAACATTTCATTCGCCATGGGTCATCGACTCTCTGGGGGTCTACTTCCGCCCCCCCTCTAATGGTTCAGATAACCGAAGAGGACCTTCAACATATGATCGCCGAACCTTCAACAAGATCAACTTCTACTTGCTCCTCTAACGATTCTGATAACCGATAAGGACCTTCAGCGTACGACCGCGAAAGTTTCAACTCGTGTTGCCAATGAAGCAATGGCACAACCATGTGCATCCACCTCAGACCATAGGTCTCGAGCGCCTCATTCTAAAGTAGGGGGCTATCCCATCCCAAGGTTGGCATCACCCTTACCTTTCAACCCCAAGTGGGTGCACATCCCATCTCAAGAGACGAGTATAATTTCCCTACTCAAAAAAATAGAACATCCCCAAAGGGGTGAACATAAACAACCGAAATACAAAAACAAAAAAAAAAAAAAAAAAAAAAAGGAGAAGAAGGAAGAAGAAGAAAAAAGAAAAAGAAGAAGAAGAAAAAAGAAGAAGATGAAGAAAAAAAAAAAAGATGAGGAGAAAAAAGAAAAAGAACAAAAAAAAAAGAAAAAAAAAGAGGTAGAAGATGCAGCCAAGCCGCGCGCGCGGCTCCATTCCAAAAAAAAAAATTAAAAAAATTTCGGCCATGCCGACCGCGCGCCAAGCCGCGCGCCCCCTCCAAAAAAAATAAAAAAATAAAATAATAATAATAATAATAATATTGCGAAGCGCGTGCTCACACGCACCTGGGGGGCAGCAGCTGCGCGCGCCTTCCCAAGGCCACCTTGGAGCCCGCGCTCCCATCAGATCGCGTGCAACTTTTACTACTCTCCACCAAATTGCGCGTAGATTTTGACGCGCTTCACCAAATCGCAAGAGAATTTCAACGCGCTCCACCAAATTGCGCGATCGCTTTAACGCGCCTACCAAATTGCATTCGCTATCAAATGGAAAAATAAAAAATATTATTTCTCCACGCCATGCCAACGATTAACCCAAGACTACAGCACCGATCTACTCTCGACATGATCCGTTCCCTTTTCGACTTGGCTCCCACATCATCTCGAGAGTGGGGGGCTTGCGAGACAACTCCCACGAGAAGACACCTCGCTTTGTCCTACAACACACAGCGAGACAACTCCCACGAGGAGACAACTCGCTCGGACCTACAACCCCTCGCGAGGAAACTCCCACGAGGAGCCAACTCCCTTGGGTCTACGAACCCGCAGCTAGACAACTCCAACGAGGAGACAACTCGCTCGGAACTACTACCCACAGCGAGATAACTCCCACGCGGAGAGAACTCGCTCCGTCCTATAACCCCTTGCGAGACAACTCCCACGAGGAGCCAACTCCCTCGGGTCTAGGAAACCACAGCGAGATAACTCCCACGAGGAGCCAACTTGCTTAGTACTACAACCCGCAGCGAGACAACTCTCACGAGGAGACAACTCGCTCGGTCCTACAACCCACAGCGAGATAACTCCCACGAGGAGCAAACTCGCTATGTCCTACATCCCGCAGTGAGACAACTCCCACGAGGAGACTGCAACTCGCTCGGACCTACAACCCCTTGCGAGGAAAATCCCACGAGGAGACCACTCGCTCCGTCCTACAACCCGCAGCGAGACAACTCCCACGAGGAGCCAACTCGCTCGGTACTACGAACCCGCAGCGAGACAACTCCCACGAGGAGCCAACTCGCTCGGTACTACGAACCCTCAGCGAGATAACTCCCACGAGGAGCCAACTCGCTCGACACTACAAATCTGTTGCAAGGCAACTCCCACGTGCAGCCACCTCGCTCGATAATAAGACTCGCTGCGAGACAACTCCCACGAGGAGAGAAATCGCTCAGAGCGACATCAATCCGCACACTCGTCAGTCGCGCGTCATCCAATGCTCCTACAACTTCGCTGCGAGACAACTCCCATGAGGAGACAACTCGCCCGAAATTCACTATATAATCGCAAGCTCAAGTTAGCACGATTACAACCCTAGAAACACTTAGAGATATTAGGGGAATCTATATAGCCTGGCCAGCTTGATTACTCAAATTTATCTACTTGTTTTCGATGGGTCATTCATTAAAACGTGGCCACGGTCCAAACACACTTACGACCCACGAGGTCTAACAAGGGGCACGATCCCCATAAAAAATCTTGAGAGCCTGATCCCCTCCTCAAGTACATCACGCACAAGGCTATATGTAAACATATACAAGCAACGCGTCACAACATTGACAATGTCGATAAATAACAACTCCCACGAGGAGAATACTCGCTCTCTACTACTACATTATCGCGAGACAACTCCCACGAGGAGATAACTCGATCAACTCTATTACCCCGCGACAAGACAACTCCCACGATGAGATAACTTGATCCGAGCTACTACATCGTCGCGGGACAACACCGACGACTCAAATAACTTACATCGCGACAACTTGGTTGCGCTACGCGCCAACGCGCCTTCACGCCCCCCCGACACACGCTCCAATGTGTTTTCGCACACCATTAGGCCATACGCCAACGATCGACTTCTACAAATTTTACTCTCGACACGATCTGACACGCATTTCAACATGGCCCCCACATCGACTCGAGAGTGGGGGGCTTAATGATATGCCTAATTGGCCCAACCCAATGAGCCTACAAATTATTTACCTACTGGGCCACGAGCCCAATATCGAAGACCACTATCACCGAGGCCCAATCACCTTCAAGTAATGTTTGGGCCCGACAATCTCAACTAAGCTATAAATAAAGGTTCGAACTCATTCTTTAAGGTACGTCCTATTAACTGAGCAATACTATAATATGTATTCTCTGGACTATTTCTATGATCAGATTGTACTGGATTGATGTTGAGGGGTTTCCGCCGAATCAACCCCCGGCTTAGTTCATGTGTGCTTATTTTGCAGAGAACTCAGGATCATCAAGTTGTCAAGCTACTGATCTGCTTTGCTCTCCCAGCTCGTTTTTTACACTACATCAGTGATCTAACTAATTAGCATCATCAAGGATGTTTACGTACACATCAATCAAACTTCAATAAAACTTCATTAATCACTTTTATTATTATTAATAATTGATCAAAGTACATAGCAATAAAAGTTGTTTTTAATTTATTCCTTATTCATTTATTTATTGTAGAAAATTGGGTAATACTAATAATTAAGTAACGAGGCCCAAATTGAGAATACCCCAAGGATTGTGAGGCCATGATTTATCCTTGGATTTCATGAGTAAGACCCTAGCCCAAGCAACCCAACCCTGCCACGTCATCCTCTTATCCCAAGGACTCCCCCACTGGAGCATCAATCTCAGCCCTCTCTCCGCCGCCATCTCCGCCTCCTCAAACCTCCCTTCCCCCAAATAAATTTGCCCCAACACAACATACCCCTCCCCCACAAATGGGTTCTTCTCCACACTCCTCAACAGCAGCTCCTCCGCCTTCTCCAACCCTATCTCCGCCGCATTGCACACCGCCTCCCAGTACATATCCCTTGCTGCTATCTGATCCTCCGAATCAACAACTCTGGTGCATCCATGGAACACCGGCGGAATCACCAGCTCCAACTCTTCGTCTTCTCTCTTATTATAATCTTTTAATTTGGATGCTGTACTCGTGTATATCTTTTCTTCTCTCACTATCAAAGTGTATATCGCCGCCATTCTCGATACCGAGTTCATCCACAGCCCCGGCTTGCCGTTGCCGGGCCACAGAGATGTTACTGTGTTGTTGCCGGAGAACTCGAGGCGGCCGTCGGAGTTTCCGAACAGAGCATCCTGAAACCCGAAAAGCTGGTCGCTGAAATCCGCCACCGTCATCAGAATGAAAACGGCGAGGAGCCTTCGGGAAACAAGCACGTCTTCGCCTGTTTTTATGTGCTTCACTTTAATCCCTTCCGCCGGGCAAATCGACTGTAGTTTCGCCCTCCAGATCTCCGCTTCCTTTTCTTCGATTTCTCCGTCGATGATTTTTCTAAGGCTGATCTCCGACGATCGGAGGTGATCCACGAGCTCCTGATCAGTGTACTGAAAGAGGAGAAAGTCGTGAATGAGGGGCTGGCGGGGAACGACGCAGAAGAGGTGGATCAGGCGCTCCGCGGCGGGGCCGACGTGGGAGCGGACGGTTTGGCGGCCGGCGGAGGAAGGTGGGAAGATGGCGAGGTTGACGTATGAATTGGAGTAGGCGGAGTGGAAGAGGCCGCACAGGCAGACCTCGTCGGGGGCTTTCCACATCTTGAGTATCCGGTAGACGCCGATTAGATGGTCGAGGAAGCTGCCGTGCTTGTGCCAGCACTCGCCGGCGCCGGCGGCCTGGAGCACCGATATGAGGCGTGGCAGATTTGGGTCGACATCTTGGAGCTCGCCGCGGAGAAATGGACGGGCAGATTCCAGTAGTGGTTGGAGATGAAGGTGGTGATCGGAATCGTTGGTGTGGTTCTGAGAGAGTGGTGAAGAATCTGAAGATGGCGGCGCCATTATATTCACGGTGGTGAAGAATCGAGAGAATAGGTTTGGGGAGAGAGAGAGATGAGAGAGAAAGGGAGAGAGAAAGGGAGAGAGAGATTTGAGTATTGAATGAAGGTTTGAATGAGTATAGATAGATAGATAAGAAGCGATGGAAAAGCTAAAATTAGTTGGGTTTTGGAATATTGAAAATGTTGGTTGAGGTGATAAGCTTCAGAACTGCGACTGCAGTACAAGCTGACAAATAAATGCAAGAGTTTTTATTTTCTTTCTTTTCTTTTTTTTCTTTTTTTTCTTTTCACTGTCAAGCTCAAAGTTGTTACATGTTAATTGAATTATTCCACCTCCATTGAATTGGCAATTATCAAATTGCCTTTCTATTAAATCTCCCAAATCATAAAGAAATCTTTATATCGAAATATATACATTCCTTTACATCAAAATATATACATTCCTTTACATCATTTCATTTGTTTTACAATTTAGAAATATATATACACGTATGATTTTACTTCATATATAATTTATGATCTTATATATAAAATAAAGAAACGTTGGGCAGTCCTTACAATTCTAATGGTATTTCAGTAATTAATTATTTTTAATAATTTTTTTTACTAATTTCTAACCATCATTTTTAACAATTATTAAAATTGAAACTAAACCGTGAAGATTCTACCCAAATGGTACTTCTGTAATTCTTTATTTTTAATATTTTTTCTCTACTAATTTTCAACAATTATCAAACTCCTATTTTTCATCAATAAATCTCAAATCTGAAGAGCTAAAAATAAAAATTCGATTTGTTAAAATCTTAATATGTATATTTGGATTGTAATTCTTAATATGTAATATTTAAAAAAACTAATATTATATAAAATATGAATAATACATTATTAAATTTTACTATGTTAGTGTACTATATTTTTTATTATGTATTAAATTGATTATTTCTTTTTCACTTTCGAAATAATATCCCTGCATCGCATGGGAAAAAAACGCTAGTTAATTAATAAAAGGTACACACTATATTTTATAGAAATATACTTTTAAATAAAACCAAATAAGTACGAAACTTCATAAAGAAAATAACTAAAATATATTGTTATATATTAATTCATGCATGGAAAATGCTCACATTAAAATTTCTCTTATTTTGTTATGATAGTTGATAATTTTCATTATCTTGAATTTATGTGCATAAATATTGTTTGAAACAATGAAGTCTTTTTCGTGTTACTCGTATGTCATGATCGCTCGGTCAAATTTACCAACATTTTCCTTGAAAAAAGTGCAAATTTACTACACCAGAGCCCTAATGTTTGGTGTAATTATAGCTAGACGGCTTCTAATTTTTTTAAATTATTTTTTTACCCCTGACCAAACTTTGAGTAAACTTATTGACCTCCCTTATGTCTAATTATATGTATACATCCTTATATTTACTTTCTTTCTTTGACCTCAAAATTTAAAAGGGATAATTAGCAAGAACCCCCTCATCTAGAAAAATGAGTTAAGGAACTGAAATGATTTACGCGACAGTAAAATTACGAATGTCGTTCACAGTTGCATTTCCTTTCTCTCTCTAAAACCTACCCAATTCACTCAAACCCCAAAACCACCAAAAACCCCCAAATTTCACAAATATCCTAAATTTTTCTCACAATCCTTCCAAATCCGAAAATCTCATCAATTATACAGGTAATTACTCATCTAAAGTACTTATATGTATCAAATTTGTTGTTAATCCTATGAAATTTGAATGAAAAT